ATATTAATATAAAAGAAAATTTTTTATCAATTTTAAATATTTTAAAGGTAAATTTTTTTGCAATTCCGGTTTTTTATTTAGAATTCTAGGTAGCATGCCACGAGATATAAAAGAAACTTTTAACTTTTTTACGCTCCAACCAATATTGCAAGAGATATCCCGATTTTTTTATTATTTTTATCTATTATTATTTATTTAAACTAAATAGCGGATTTTATAATATTTTATACATATAACACATACACACATACATACACATATAATATTCTAATATGCCGTGAGCAGCTTTCTTGAGCTACCCATTTTTAAAAAGGTATATTAAATCGATATTTGCAAGTATTGTTACCTCTTTTCCGCGATGCTGATTGGTTATCTCGACGCTACGCTGTGTTTTACTTTATATTAATAAAAGCCTGTTATAACTGAACGACGCATTTGATAGTTCAAATATTAAATGTGTGTAATTTTTATTTAATTTATTTTAAAAAACGAAGAATTAGAATTAATTTGTGTGTATGTGTGTATGTAATTATACACACATACACACAAATTAAATGGTGCGCCCGTTAAAAAGATTATATGTATTTAAATACGGGACATTTTTAGATTAAATATACTATACCTTTGATATATAATTCTTTTTCTAACTCGTTCTGACAAAGTTCACGTAGAAAGCAACTAATGTCACGATCGGCGATAAGATACGAGTCTCGGGAGAACGTATCTAATTTTGCTGCGTCAGTAGCTTATAGCTTATAATTAAGATGACAAGATGGAAGATATCGATATTTATGTCAAAAAATTGCTCAATATACCGTTCATCAGTTCACGATAGATGAAATACAAGGCGATAAAAATCTGAAGACTAATAACATACGAATAATGTATATAAACAATTATACCTAAACATTTATATACTGCAAGATGTCCGACAATTTGTGCAGCCTTATAGTGCGTAAAAAGAAAATGTATACATTATAATTTATGACCGAGTTTTATTAACTTGCGCAGGTAAATTTACGATTCCAATGCCTCGCCAGGCTTGAATTATTCATTGAGCGAATTAATTAATGATCCTGCATATCTCCGCGTTAGTAATTGCGCGAATAGAAGCAACGATGTTAAGATATACGTAGATAATAAAAATTTTTTTTTCAAGACACGGTAAAAAGTTTTTTTCTCAATATTTTTAAAGCATTTCTACTATAAATTCACAAAATATAAAATAAGAGGTAGTTAATTGATTATATTGAAAATAACATATTATAATTTTTTTGTATGGAATGAATAATAAGAAAACATTTATTTTGAACTTCTTGGTTCTTCAAAAATTATTCTTCAGAACTTTTCTCCCCCATTGCCATGAAATCCGGTGGTTTCGAAAAATGTTGCAAATTTATCTCTGATTTGAACATTACTTTTTGTTGGTCTGCTTGTGTTGAACATGCCTGCATCTTCTAGGCCTGTGATTAATGATTCGAAAGTGTGTTATAAAGGTTAATTAATCGAAAATCACAACATTCGAATTATATAACCAAACTTCAAATTAACCGAAAAAAATATATAAAATCGAAAAAAATATATTTGAAATGTATATAAAAAGAGCTTTCCGATCATATATAATTTATTCAAAATGGCTGTTTTGGTTTTGGATACAGAGACGTATAAATGCTCCGGCCATTGATCAATCGATTTACGCACTGTTTGTAGTGAAATTTTGGATGCTTCACGGACAATACTTCGCTTAAGGGACTCCAAATTGGCATGTCTTACAAGCTTTCTTCTCAAGAAGATCCCACAGTTTGTAGTCGAGGGGTTGAAATTGAGGCTTCCAGAGCCTAGTCCTCAACACTGATAAAATCAAGAATGTTGGTTTCCAACTAGCGTTGGATTATTTTAGCTTTGTAAGCTGGCGCGGAATTTTGTTGAAAAATCCATGGATCCCTGATCCTTGATCCTACTTGACTACAAACGGTAGGATCTTCTTGAGGAAAAAGCTTGCAACAAAAGATATGCCAATTTGGAGTCCCTCAAGCAAAGTATTATCCGTGCAGCATCCGAAATTCCGCTACAAACGGTGCGTAAATCGATTGACGAGTGGCCGGAGCGTTTATGTCTCTGCATCCAGAACCAAGGCAGCTATTTTAAATAAATTATATATATGATCATAAAGCTCTTTTTATGTACATTTTAAATATATATATATGTATGTGTGTGTAAACTATATTGTGTTGTCTATTTCATTCACTACGGGCGTGCGAAGTATTGACAGAATTTATGGCGAGACTATGTAATTTTCTGCTGGAAAAGTCTCCGAATGTCTTCGAAGATTTTAAATTTCAGGACTTTTTCAGAGTTTTTTCCAATAGGAAATTATTACTTAATAACCATGCCTATTTTTTCAAAATAAATTAATTAGAAGATAAAATGAGAGTCAAGAATTATCGACTAGATAACTAGATCAATTATGTTACATTTCTATAAGAAGACGTAATGAAGCTAAATTTTTCTTACGGGTTGTATGGGATGTAGAAGTTTGTAACAATGGTATACTTTTATATGCGCTGTTTTTTGCTGAAGTTAAAAGTAGCGAAAAATTATCCTCTTATTGTGCGCTTCCAGCTTTATCATCGGATAAATTACTAACAATTCTGAAAAACAATTATATTCCATGTTAAATGTTATTACAGATATTATATTAGTATAGAAAAAATATAAAAATGTTATGAAATTAAGATTAATCATAATACAGATTTTCGTATTTTTAGATTCCATTACCTATTATCCAATAAAAATAAAAATTGACCAAAGGCTCCGAAATATTAATAATTAAAAACAATAAAATAAGCATCAGGAGCCAGCGCAATGTATAGGGCGCAAAGAAATTTATTAAATGATTAAAACATACAATAAATGCGAACATTTCGATCCTTTTTTTAATCATCTTCAGTGCAAAAATTAATTAAAAATATAAATAACGGTTATGATAAAATAGAAACCGGAAATTGATGGTAAAAAAACGAAAATCGATAATAAATTAGCAGATAAACACGGATGTCCACTAGATCCACCACGTGGTGACGGTGGAAGATCGTATTATAACGAAAATCGATAATAAATTAGCAGATAAACACGGAAAATATATAGAGAAAATACAGCTGTAATTATTGTCATGGATAAAATGCAAATAAACAGATCAACCGAAAACCTTCAAATCGAGAAATTAGATGACGAGCATCAATTTGAAGGTTTTCGGTTGATTTGTTTACCTACGTTTTATCCTTGATAATAATGGCAGCTTTATTTTCTCTATCTTTTTATTTTCCGTGTTTGTCTGCTAATTTATTATCGATTTTCGTTTTCTTATCATCAATTTCCTGTTTGTGACGTTACGTATAAGAGTACATCCAGTTCTATCCGATGGCTGTTTGGCAGCCCTATCGGCTTTAATTCGCGATCTTACACACTGCCATAACAATATAAATTAAATAAACTATAAAGTTCTTACCTCACACACTGTTGCTCTACCGTTGTTCGGCGCGACTCTAATCTCTAATCTCGTTCTCTTCCGCGCTCCTCTTGTCCTTTTCTCCCATGGCACTCATTCGTGAATACAAGATCGCGCGTGCGAATTAATTACTTCGCATGACACCTTCAACATTAATCGCGACGCGTACTATATTATACGTGCGACGGAAGAATAACACGAAGAAAATACAATATCTTTCGAACTATATGCAATCCGTTCGAGCGGTACGTCGTCTCGCGTGCGAATATCGGTTGGTGGAAAGTCAACGATTGCGCGACCAACTTTGCGCGTCACACTTGATATATTTCTACAGCGCTTGTTTACACTTTGTATAACAAATAAAATACACGTTGGTTCGTGCCTCCTCCCACCTTAAATCCCCCCCTCGCTTCACTCGAAAGCGAATATCGGTTGGTGGAAAGTCAACGATTGCGCGACCAACTTTGCGCGTCACACTTGATATATTTCTACAGCGCTTGTTTACACTTTGTATAACAAATAAAATACACGCGCATTGTAGGACGATTACAATTGCGTATTGCACAATATGTATAAAAAAATATACGAGTTAAAAATTAAAGATAAATATCCACGAACCATAATATTTGAAAATATGACCATCGCTTTATCAATCTATCCATGCGATAAATTTTGATCGATTAAATCCTACGAAATACGCATTTTATTAATAAAGCATCAATATATATCATGAGTTTTTATTCGTTTTCGGATCACTCGATTTTCGCATATTACTCCGCGATTACTATCAACATTCAAAAATAGTGAAGAAATTACATTTAAATTGATGGAAAATGCAAAACGCGATAAGAGATAACCTCGAATTTAAATGCATTGTTAGTAAAAAAAAAAAATATTGCTTGTCAAGCAATAATACAAAACAATATGCGACACAATAATTGATAACTTTAATCCTTGATATAACTTTGATATTCGTACTTAAAATAAGTACACATATTATATGTAATCGCGCCAAATGTCTACTTCTCGCAATAAATGATCGTCATCTCGATACAAATTGTTAATCATAAAAGTTGATTAATTGCGTGGATTGATATAATTGCTAGCTATTTATTATTATTAATTGCTAGTTGGTTATGATAAGAATACCAGTGTGTTTATTATACACGCCTTATTATATACAAACAGTAAGCGTCTCCGAAGATCTCTTATCAAAGTTTACATCATCGCTGCGAAATATTGAGTGTACCATAAAATAAATACGCGCTGCATATTTTATGTTCTTTGAACTTTAACTTTGATGGATGAACTATTATCTCACATTAAGTTTAACGATTTAAAGAATAAAATTTACTTCTTTTTATTTTGATTTGAAAAAATACCGTATCAGATAATAAATATTTTTGTATGTTATTATTACGTTCTTTCTCTCTTCTAAATTTTACGTCTCGAAAGAAATAAAAGTATGTGATTTAATATACACAAATTAAGAAAAAATAAGATTAAATGAAAATACATTGCAAATCAATGTGTGGTGACTCATTCCGTCAATTAAAAAAAAATGATTTGTTCTTTTCAAAATGTAAAAAACTAGATAAAAGATGAATTCAAGATAATAATAAATATTGAATATACCATAAAATATAAATTTGTAAAAGATGATAATAATAATAAATTAATTTTTATTTTTTATGATCGAGACAAACATAAATTTTATTCTTCAAATTTCTATTTAATATTAAATTTAGCAATTCTTTTTATAATTAAATAATTAATTATGATAAATTCTACGCGATGCTGTTCGGTTATATAACTCAAATGTTGTGATTTTTGATTAATTAATCTTCATTACACACTTTCGAATTGTTAATCGTGGTAATTGATCGCGCGAACTGATTAATCATCAACTATCCATTATAAATAAAATAATTTGAACATTAACAATGTATAATAATATGGCACAATTTTCGGCACTGCTTGCCGGCTCAAGGTCTCGCTGCGAGGATGACAACAAAAAAACTACAAATTATTAAAGAGTATTGTACGGTGATTTTATGTACGCACATGAACACACATTCTGTATAATTAATATTGAGATGTCGATTAATAATATAATAACCGGAATCGATCAAGAGTATGAGAATATATCGTATACCGTTTATTGCGCATGTGGCGAACTGAATATGCAATCGTTAACGTATAATACAATGTCAACACGAAAATATAGTTTGATTTTAGGATCCTCGCAAATGTACATTAAATAAACGACGATTACAATGCATGGCAACGTTCTTTATATCGCTGCTATTAATATTGTATGTGCAAGTGTTGACTATTTCTCCTTACCGGAGCGGCGCGTTTGACTGGGGACTGGTTTTCAAGCGGGCAACATCATCCGCACAAACAAACCTAGAAACTATCGCCAACTAAATGCAAGGCTTGCCAAGCAAATACGCTCACAGTAACTTAACGTGTGCACACATACCCACGTTACATTCTGCCCTTCCTTCCTTCTTTCCCCCCCCCCCTTCCATTACCGTCCATAAACAGTTCTGGAAACTTTAATTAAAACCCCCCAGATATAGGTAATTAACTCACTTGGCTTGCTGCGGGACACTCGTGTGTCTCGGTAATCATACTACTCTCGTGTGTTTCCGATATTTTAATTATTAATTAAGTAGCGACGACTCGCCAATCCGCCGGCTTTACGGTCCTCTGTATCGCATCCGCCTTAGTTTTGTACCTGCCGGGTTTTATCGAATGCGCGTTTAAACATCTAGCCACCCTCAATTCGACTCGGATTAAACATTAGTGCTGGCTTCCGCTCGCGAGGTTGCTTTCACGAGGTAACAAACACGTGCCGACATTAACTTTCCAAGAGAAGACGAAGAGAGATCACTTCGCGCCAGAGAAGACGACGAGGAGATCGTTTTCCGCGAACGATGGCTGTTACCAACGTTGCGGCGGAATGCGCAAAGGAATGGTAAATTGGATTACGGTGGTAACTGAAGCGTGAGCACTTTATTTGGTATAAATACGTCTTCCCGGTAAGTGTTTCCTACTATCTGTCGCTTGTGCGCTGAAAGAAATTCGCTGCCATCTCGGATGTCATCAAGTATCGCCATTTTTTGCTTTCGGTAAACAAAGTTTAATTTCGACATGTAATGCGTATCAATTGAAATATATAATCTATATCGATTCGCAGAAAAACGAAGTGTTCATTAAAATGTGTTGTTAATATCACATGAAATTCCTGATTGAACGTTGCTGATAATTAATGTAACATTGATCTTTAAAAAGAGATGTTTAATCTTAAATGTGATTAACAATAATACTGTAAGTCTTTTTACAGAAATTACCTGTTCTCGACAGCTCTTTAACCGACAGTTTGCGCGATGGGAAAACATCTCTTTGAAAAAGGTAGACGTCAACATGATGGCTCTTCCTCCATGAAATTGCATAAAACTAGAATTGCTTTTGATAATTTAACATAATTAAAGTCTTTGCAATGTGTAGCTTTTGCATTTATAACATTTGAGGAAAATTTATACAACGTAAATCATGAGAGTTCTTCAAAAAATATACGAATTAAAAAAAGCGCTGCTTTTTAACGATTAGAATTTATATTATTATACTTTTTGCACAATAATCAGTAATTTAGTTTAATTAATGTCGTTATATTACAATTTATTTATATTACAGAGTTAATCAGAGAAAATACAAAACAAATAGAAGAAGAGAACATAGAGAATTATATATAACTTTCTCTGTATAGTATACAGTAATAGAGTGGCATTAATTAGTATAAATTAACAAAAAAATTTGCAAAAAGTATAATAAATATAAATTGTAATAAATTATTATGAAATTGATCTTATTCATTGTCTAGATTCTTAATATAACTGTCTAACTTAATATATAATAAACATTAAGCTTACTTACTGAGAAACGTTAGATCGCTCAATACGTATTAAGCCTGCTTCGAAAGTTAATAAGCAGTTTAGGTCTTAGGGGGCCAAACAACTTGGTCAGAAAATCCAATTTGCGTGCAAGAAATTGTTTCTGCTTCCAGAAGCGTAAATCATTTAGCACAATATGAGTAGATAGTCGATATTTTACTATGTCTTTGTCATAAATTTTTATTTTTTATAATTTATCCATTCATAAAAAAGACATGTAAAGTAGATTAATCAAAAATATCGAAATTTATTATTATTTCTTCTCCGCGATGCCAATTAGTTATTTTGCTGTTATTACTTCATGAACAGCTGTTGTCATCGATATCGCATATTTTAACAGTTCAGAGAGATTTAATATTAATGTGAGTGATTTCATCCGTTTAATATATGCGAATTGAATGAACTGTTTTTGAAAAACGAAATTGAAATACTCCTCTCGAACAAAATGTTAAATAGCTGTTATTACAAAGATTGCATATTTTGACAGCTTAAATGTTCAAGAGTTCAGTAGTGTGTAATTTTGTGATTTTATTTATTGGATATATATATAAATCTTATATTAATTATTTTATTATATTAAATAGCTGAGATTGCATATTTTGACAGCTTAAATGTTCAAGAGTTCAGTAGTGTGTAATTTTGTGATTTTATTTATTGGATATATATAATATATATATATTAATTATTTTATTATATTTTTATGTATCTTTGAAGCAAAAAAAATTGTAACATGCTTATTTTTGAGGCTCATGTACTCCAAGGTAACCTCCGTCTTTATATATATGAGGTAGAATATAGTCTGACTAATAACTGTCTTTACTACTCGCCTAATATATTTATATTTCTAAAAATATAATTTTAAAAAATTATATGTATATATTTTTATATATTGTTTTTTTAATTATATTCTCAGATGTTTTAATATATTAAACAAGTATTAGTTAATTAATTATTAAGCAAGTAAAAAAAGGCAGTTATTGGTCAGACTATATTATTACCTCTTTCATTTCTTATGTAAAGTGTTCTTAAATTTCCAGATGTTCTTTTAATAATATATTTTCTGGCCAATTTAAAGTCAATTTTTTCTTAACAAAAATGTCAAGAAGAGTCATCATTTTTTGCAAGTTTCCAATTTTTTCCATCGTATATCTTTGTGATTGAACAAATTAAATTTCAATTAAAATAAACTACACTTGAAATTAATTGAAGAATGTAGTTTTGTCAACCTGTTAATTCTACAAAGTA